ATTTGCCAAACAAAACATCTGATGATTCTAAAGCAAAGTATGTTTGTATGCATGTTCGTAGTATAAAAGGCTGCACTTAAGGGGTGTTTGCATTGTTCAACATTGCTTTCAACTCAACGCAGGGTTGCACGAAAAAAAGTTGAATGGCTAAACTTCAACTTTGTTGAAAGCAATTAGTTAAAAGGCCGTTCAAGGTTGAACAATGCAAACGCCTTTTTATTGCGAAGATTTTGATATTTTTTTTTATATTTTGATTTTTTTTCGTGCAACCCTGCGTTGAGTTGAACGCAAAGTTGAACAATGCAAACGCTGCATTAGTGCCGTTTCACATACTCCGGTGTACATACATATGTATGTAACCGGTCACCGGCTGGCGTGAAAGCTCAATGCCTTCACATACACTTTGTGCCGGCAATCCGGCTGCCTGGTAACCGGAAACCGGATCATGTGAAACGGTAGTTAGTAACCAAATAATTATAATTTTTTATCGAAAAATTAAACAATATTTTTAACGTCTACGACTACGTAATGCGGTATACACAATCGGGGGCGGCGATCTTGCAAATATAAATATATACATACATATGTACATACGTAAGTAGTATTTATAGAGCACGTGTAATGACGATTTTGTATACAAATATAGTGCATACAAATATAAATTATCTTATGCATGAACAAATCTACATAAATATTTAGTTACATATGTAGACGGTTGGCAATGAAAAGTAATTAAATCCATAGAATGCGACATTTAAAGAGCTAGGGAAAAAGTTATGGAATGAAAACGTGCTCATGGCCACGTCCGATGTATGAACATCGGTATCGTCATGTACATATGTATGTATGTAAATATCTGTGCTCATGTACACATGTACTTATATACATCCATATATACATGCAGGGAAACTTGGAGCTGGTGAACCAAATTTGTAGTTCCCTACTAGATCTTTATCGCGAAAAACGAATATTTCCGATAGTAATTAAATCCCCAGCAGTTCAAAAGCAGCGAAATCTGATATTTTTAAAAAAGTATTTTATATTACTTTTAAAACTGCCCATCTCTAGCTAAGAGTGAAAAGTTGCTGCTAAGTTCACTTTTTCTAAAAAAATATGTTTTGATGCAAGATGCAAGAACAATTTCTTAAAAGATATTTTATTAACCGACTTCAAAAAAGGAGCAGGTTATCAATTCGTCGGAATATTTTTTATATGTACCGCATAACTTTGGACAGCGTTGCCCGATTTGGCCTAAGCAGCGACTTTTCACTCTTTTTTGGCGATAGAGATCTAATACGGAACTAATAATTTGGTTCAATAGTTCGAGGTTTCTCTGCAGAGTATGTACGTTATGTACATGTACATTACATACATACATATATACATATGTCTGTACATGTATGTACAAATGTATGTATGTACATATGTATGTACATACAAATATTAAACACTGTTAATAATTACACTAAAATAATGGTTATTAAGACTTATGTGATTTAAATGTACGCATTTGGGTATATGTGTATGAGTGACCTTGTCTGTGGATTGGCATAGTTGGTGAATTAAATGTAAAATTTAATATATTAAATTTAAATTTAGAATAATTTTTGTAATGAGTGCACAGTTAAGCATTCTCCGCGGCATTTACTGAAACTTAGAATATCCTTGAAAGCAAAGCATTGTCAACAAACAACTATGTACTACATACGGGTGTGTACATTAAGCTGTATCATGACATATGAGTTTTATTTAAACACTTATGTATGTATGTCGAAAGAAAATGTTGGGTGTAAAAAAAAAATTATTTTGAGGCACCCGGGAAATCGCGTTTTTTGTTATATCTTTCTTATTTGATATCCGATTTCCAGTGGGCAGTGCCTGGGTTCGAGCCTAGTTTCCGACTAAAGCTTAGTATTCAGCTCTGAAGAAAACGATCAAGAACAAACTGCCTCTATTTCGTGACCAAGGAAATTTGACATCTGATATTTTACAACCTGCTGTCTCACTCTTCCCTCACGATATTATGCAACGAGCATATCTTTATTTTTGTTGCAAATACTAAGTATGGGTTGCCTCGTGCTCTTTTTTCACAAAAAATTTTAGAAAAACATAGCAAAAGTGTAGCAAATTACTTAAGAACCCCGTACTGCCTTAAGGAAATTTGTCACAAGAAAGCTTCTTCGACATTTCTACAAAAATTTTGTATATGGAGTTTTTGTTTTTTTTGAGAGCTGGATACTAAGTTTAACATCACAACCAAAATAAGAGAAAAAGTTTTTTCCAAAAGTGCCCTCGGGCAGGCAATGGCAAACCCCGCGTGTATTTCTACCAAGGAAAACCGCTTTTCATAAACATTACGCCCGAAGTCGGCGCAAAACTATAGGTGCCTCCGCTTTTTGTAATAACCAGTGATGCCAACCAGGGGAGGGTTCCCCGATTTTGGTGCAATTTGTGAAAATTAGCGCTGTGCGATTATTCGATTGTTAATCAGTTGTTCGGTTATCAGTTACTCGAGTAATCAAGATTTTGATTACTCAAAACGGCGATTAATCGAGTTACTTAAAATATAATCACTTTAAAAAATTAATTTTGTTCATTAAAAGAGTTTGCCGCGCAATCTGTGCACCGTGCAAGGGCTTTGGAAGACTCAGAAAATACACCTAATGTGTATATCGTCACCTGAAATGCAAAATAACGTAACACGTCACTGAAATGGAAAAAGTGGTGACTATTTTTTTTTCATAAAACGATGCACAGTGGGCCGCCCCATACAAGTTATCCGGAAAAAAATATTTTATTGGTTCTGATGCTTGGATTTGTCGTAAAAAGTGGTCATAAAAAAATTCAGCTTGATCGGGGATCGATTTGATGGCTCCAGAGGTCCTCTGAGGAGGGTTTGTAGCAAAAACGGTATATTGAAGGTATCTGTATATAAATACGCCACAATGAAATTTTGAACCCCCTTTTTTGAGGGCATCGTTCGCTCGATTTCTATGAAGCATATCTCTAATCCAGAAATGTTAACCCCATTATACAGGGGGCGTGGCATCTGACATACATACTAAAATGTGAAAACCGATATATCTCTAAACCCAATTACGCTGGGTAACTGAAACTTGGCACGACGAAAAATGATAGGTATTTGTAATGGGGGCGTGGCACTTCCCATAGTTGGGTTCGATTGTTGTGGCAGACCCCACACCAGGGGGACACACTTACGACATTAATTAGATTGTCCATTGTGTTACCACATTACACAAGTTCTTTGAACGGCAACTAAGATATTCTGTGTTGAAAAACTAAAGGTGCTCAGAACAAAGTTCCGCAGGCAGCTGGTGTCCACTCCGGAGAGCTTTTCAGGAGTGTCGAAGAAATGAGCACCGAGGTGCTTAAGCACAGCACGGCATTCGAAGTGCTGAGAGGATTCCACCTCATCTTCCAAACAGCTGTGGCAGTACGGATCTGTGTCAAGACTACGTCGGCTCCACCTTGCTCAAGGTGGATGAGGAGATTGACGGACGCCGCCTTAGAGTGTTTGAGATTTATCTGCAGGATCTTCATCCTCCAATGTCTTCTCCAGCCACGCCAGTTCGACATCCTCGTTGACCGAGGCTAGAAGCCTCTGTTCCTCCGTCCTGTCATAGAACCGTCGGAGCGGATGAAAGATCCCTCGATTGAGAGAGCATCCCCAGCACTTTCGGCTTCTGACGTGAAGGATTCTACCTCCATTCTCACGGGGTTTCTTCTGCTTCGGGCTTGCCCATCGTTGGCACCTCCGGAGGTTGAGAGCCATCCCTCCTGGCATCCAATTGGTAGACCCTAAGGACTACCCTTTCGAAGCCATAAGTTATGACTCCCTCTGACTCAGCGAAGGGACCGGGGGACTCCGCATTGAGTAATATCTGCGCTTGCCGATGCAATTCCTCAGACCCCTTAAATCTGACAACCCTCAAGTTATGCGTGGGCAGATGCGGGTTGCAGTAACGATGGAGGCAGTATTTCTTTTATTAGTTTTTTTATTATGCAAAATTTTCGATATATGTATCAATGGTAAGCTCCTAAGCTATGAATCCGGTTGGAAAACCTTGTTTACATAGAAGATATCAAAACTAAGCAGCAAACTTTAAGCAGAATTTTTAGATTGGCCAGCTATATAAAAAAATATAATTTTTGTATGGGGCCTTCCAAAGGAGAGGATATAGGAATATGTTTCCAGGAAAATATTGTTGGGGAAGGACAATTATGGGGGTATATGGTACATTTGATCCCTTTAAAAGCAACTCTTGGGTAGGTATGACCCTTTTTTCGTATTTCATTACAGACTCTGCTTGATATATTGTGGAGTTTAACATTGTTGCAAGGTCGTGCAAGGTCTGGCTTAAGTAGTATCTAAAAGAAGATATCATGAAGAGCTTCACACAAAAATTTTAAGAAAAATACATGATAATACAGTGTTCAGATTGTCCAAAAAAGTTCGACTTTGTTGATAATTGTTGACGAAAAAACGCCTAATTTTGACACATTACTCTAGCTATGTCTCTCATCATATGTGACCTGGTCTACGAAAAGGGAGCTTACGTGCGAAAACTAGTTTTCTGTGAAAAAGCTGTTAAAAGTAAGCAACTCGTTTCGTCAGTTTCTCATTATGTCGTTAATTGTTCTCCGCGCCGGACGTCCAGTAAGTGTTGTTGTTGGTCCAGTAAGTGTTGTTGTTGGTCCAGTAAGTGTTGTTGTTGGTCGGAATATTATTATAGTTCATCGTGTAAGTTGCTAGTGTGGAACATTTAAAAAAGTAACACTGAAGAAGTGACGTTTACTGTTTCTGTTGATTATCGTCTTCGCATTTCGCATGAAATGAAACATGAGTGTTGATGAGGAGTTCAGTGCCGTATACGGACAATATTTCCAAGAAAAGGATGATGAAAACGATGATGAAAACTATGAAGAGAGCGATGATGATGAAGACGAAGTATGTGTATCTCAGGCAGAAGATGATACCGAACAAACTTTTGTTAAGATGGACCTGTATGTTGTTGATGTAAAGGAGGAGGAGCTGGTAACAAAATTTCTGTCAAAAGATTGTTGTAATAATGAATGCCATACACTGATACCACGGGAAATGATCGAGAGTACGCGGAACAATTGTTTAGAGATGTCGAAAAATGAACTTGATTTAGTGATACTAAGTCACATCAAGGCTGGAATTATGAGTAACGAAAAGCTAGAAAGTGTATACGCAAAGCTTGCTGGGCGGAAGAAATATGGACAGAGACAGGATACAGAAGTTATGAGGCATAGAATTCAATTTACCTTCTACAGAGTACCTGTTTGTCGTTCGTTTTTCCTTTTTGTACATGCCTGTACGACGAAGCGTTACGAAAATTTAGTACGTCATTTTCACGCACAGGGTGTAACAGTGCGCCAACACGGACTGGCAAATAAACCGAGTACACATCCAAAGTCATTTAAACCGGCTGAAATCGAAAAAGCTGTTAAATTCATCGAGTCTATAGCCGATTTAATGGCTCTTCCACTGCCCGGACGACTCCCAAAATTTAAGGATTTTCGGATAATGAAACTGCCATCCAGCGAGACGAAGTCCTCAATTTATCGAAAATACATTTCTTCACTCAGTGATGACGAATTGAAGATGAGTAATTGCAGTTTTCGACGGATATGGTCCAAATACATACCCCATGTTACAGTTATGAAACCAGCGGATGATCTCTGCGATGTCTGCCGTGGTAAGTAGCTCATTATTTTCTCATTTTATAGTTGTATCAAACGTTAAGATTAAATTCAGTATTTTTTCTTTTAATAGGAAACACAATATCGATTGCGCAAGCCCAAGGTGTTACTGACATCGAACGCGCACAGAAGCTTAATCAATTTCTTGATCACCTCCACCGAGCCCGAAATCAACGAGAATATTATCAAAGTTGGTGTAGAAATACTGACCCTACAGCAGTCGTTCTGTCATTTGATTTTGCCCAAACCGTTCACTACCCTGTCAGTCCACAACAACCTGGTACAGCATACTTCAAAGCAACCAAGAAGTGCGGAGTCTTCGGAATTAGAGACGAAAAACAAAAAGTTCAGGTTAGAATTTCAAACTGAATCATAGGAACTCAAATTGCTCGCCTTTACAGGATCTTACTTATATTTTTTTTTTTACAGTACAATTACATGATAGACGAAAAAGATGACGTTGGTAAAGGACCTAACTGTGTTGTGAGCATCCTGCATTATCACCTGCAAGCCTACTATAAAGACATTGAAACACTCGTTCTTTTCTGTGACAATTGTGTTGGGCAGAATAAGAATAACACTGTAGTATCATATCTGCAATGGTGTTTGGCTCGGGGTCTTAACAAAACTATTTTATTCAATTTTCTACTTACCGGGCACACTAAGTTCGCGCCTGATCGTTACTTCGGTATTTTCAAAAGTAAGTATGCCGTCAGTAACATCGACACCTGGGGGTTATAATAAAGCTGTATCGGCTGAAAAAGTCGTCTGGTATGAATGGGACAGCTATTTTAAACCACTGTACAAGTCACTTGTTGGAATAACGCAATTCCATCATTTCATAATCTCTACAGATTGTGTAAAAACAAAGAAATTCGCAGACAGTGAAGAAGTGCAGTCCTTTAAGCTTCTGTTAAAACCTTTCGATCCTGAAATGTCGAAAGTTATACAACCAGCCGGTTTATCTTTGGAACGTCAGTGGTACATCTATCACAATCTTCGCAGCTTAGTTTCGGATATATCTAAAGTAGATATTGTGGCTCCATTGCCGAAAGATTTGCCATCGAAGAAACGGAAGGCAAAAACTAGTAAAGATGTTCTCAAACCAGACGAGGGACCAGGTCCATCTTCCTCAGGATCAACACGTAAAAAGATCTCAAGGA